TTTAACCTGGAATCAAAAAATAAATTATGGCTTCATGTATACTTCATATATTGCACTCCAAGTATTTTCAACTAAAAAAATGTCTTCTTTCAGTTATAACAATTTTAATAAATAGAGATATTTTTATACTACTGATTCTTGTTAATGAATATTAGTAAAGTAGTAAATTATTTAATACTGATACAGTAATTTTCTATTACATTTTTAAAAATGCTATAGAAGCAGATTTAATAATGTAAGATCAATTTTTGAATTCATTGGAATACTGCTTAATATTTTTTGTTGAATTGGTTCTACACAAACACTATTTATATGTTGCTACTACAAATAAATAAATTGAATCGAAGGCTGCCCAGTGTCTCAATATCAATTTTTCTTGCAAGATGATAATATCAGTAAACAATTATTAAAGGGTTCATATTTAAATACCATTAATAAAATTATTATTATTATTATTATTGTTATTATTATTATTGATGATGTATTTTTAAATGATATTTTACATGTTATTACAGACATCTGTATAATATATATTATGTATTAAATAAATATGTATAGTAAAAATATGAGATTGACACATTTATTGAAAATTGCATGCAGGGTGGAAGAAGTCACAGAGACTCAGACATGGGTGGATATTCATGCTCCGGTGACGACTTTGGCCGTTATGGGAGTGGTGGTGGTGGTGGTGGTGGCAGCAGTTATGAAGAAGAACTTAGTAGCAGATCATCCTATGCTCCTGATAATAACTATGGAGGAAGTAGCAGTTACAGAGGTCGTGAGAGTTCACGTGAATATGGTTCAGATTTCCGTAAGCCATTGCCTCCTGATGATGATCGTTCTTCACCACCTTTCCCTAAATATTCTGGCCCATCAAATAGAGGCAGGGATACTAGAGGATTCCGAAGTGCTGAAAGACCTGGTATGAGGTCTTCTGCCAGTGTGTCTTATAGAGGATCATTTGGAGGTAGTGCAGGACTTATCAAACGCAAACGACTCGAACCTACACCAGGTGGGCCCACAAATCCCAAAAGTAAAGGATATGTTATGGCCAATAGAAGAATACATACAGTCAAAAGGTAATTAAATGGCGACTGCCATGTTTATATGGATTTTTACAAAAGATGATGAAAACAGTATAATATCTAAGTAAATAGTATTCATATATAAAAAATATTTTAAAAAAACAACATGAAACCCATCTATAGGATATAGAGTCATTGGCAGAATGAAAAAGTATTAAACAAATATTATTGAACAATCACACAAATTACTTTTAAGTAATTGTTGGTGTTCAGAAAATATAAAATACAATTAATTGTCATTGTCCTGACTAAAATTCATTAAAAATTATTATGTTCACTTATGCATGTACAATGGATAATATTTTACAAGGAAATTTTTTAATACACCATTGAATTAAATTTGGAGTATTGAAGATGAAATACATAGATACAGTAAATTATTAAATATCAACAACATTTGTCCATATACAATATAATGTTTATCACAAATAATTTTTTTATATTGAGTTTATACTCTATGAATTAATGAAACAAACTCAATTGAAGATTTAACTTATAGATGAACTCCAGATGATTATGTCAAATTGTAATGCCATAGCATAGCATTTATTATTCCCAACAAATTAATATTAATATTAATTTTGAAACTACCCTATTTTAATTGATTAGTATTATATGGCAAATATGTATATATATACACTGTACTGCTGGGTACACAGTCAAGTGATAACACCAAAAAGTTATAGTATTATAATTATTATTAATAGAAGATAATTTTGAAATTTCTATTAATTGTTCAATATCATTAGCGAAACATACTGACTTGTATCATTAATTTGATATTTGTATTCAACGTCAACAAACTGGTGCTCATCTGTAATTTGTATGTTGTGTTTTGGAATTAGATTTTTTTGACATAACGATGCATCCAGTTTCAATATTTTTGTTATAAGACTACAGTAATATTATAGAATTCTTTTATCAAATTCTAAATAATATTTATTATACTCTTATTTTTTAAAATAAGTACCTTTTATAAATATTGTATACAAAGTGGTCCATTTAAGTGTCTACAACTACAATCATTGTTTTTATATAATTTGATGTCATTCCAAAACTACATTTTTGAAAAAAATTATAATATTGTTTACAATTTTCTACACTCATCATATTTTAAAGTTTGACTGAGTAGTGTTAATTAGTTAAATTAGTATTTAAAATATTAAAAGTTACGATGAACAGCTTGAGTGCTCAGAGTACCCAAAAAATCAACTCTTAAATTATACTTATAATTAATTAATAGTTCGTTTGAAATTCAATTTTTATGTCTGTTTCAGAATATAAAATTAAAAATGTATGTTGCCATTCCTAGATTTAAAAAATATTTATTAAAAAAGTATAAACTTTGAAATAATGAGTGAAGACAATTAAATGAATCATCTTGAAAACATGACAAAAAATTTAATAAAAATATCTCATAGTAAAATATTAATTTAAAATATCTATAATAAAATTACGGGTGTCAGGAAAAAAGAACACGGAAAACAAGTCTGATTTAATATTGTTTGTGAAAAAAAGACTTGATTTATTAGTACATATAATCATAGGAAATATAATTTGAAATTATTAATATTAAAAAATAATTTGTTACTAATAATATAAAAGTGAATGATAGAAGAATGTAACATAATTTAAAACTAATATTTTGTTAATATCCTTTGCTTTCAGAAATACAATGGCCAATATTAATCAAAAAATTGTCCACTTATATTTCATTATCTATTCGCCACTACATAGCATTTATAATTTATTTATTATTTTTATCTTTTTAAGTAATTAAAATACTCAAACATTTTTTGAGAGTATTCCAAGCAGTTGCTGGTTTACAGATCATGATTAATTGTGTTTTCAAAACCATTAAAAATAATTATTTTCCTGATTTAAAAATCACTACCTCCATCTCTATGCAAATAACTGCAAGATTGGACAACAACTAGATATCTTATGCATTATCGTGCCATAAATTTTATATATTATATGTTAGGGTATTTTATCTTTAAATACAGATTAATTTTGTTATCTTTATTACATTATACTCGAATATACATTATTTTTCTATCTACTTTACCATTTATTACTGGTTCTATAACAAAAAATAAAAATCAGACATACATTTTTTTACCGTTTAGTAATTTTGTGGTCAGTTTTTTTTTCCAAAAAAAAAATTAAATAAAACTTTTTCTGAAAATCCTATAATCACAATATTATATAAAATTTATTTTATTTTTGAAGTTTCTTCTAAAAACACATTCAAACGTTTTAAACACAGTGATCAGTGTATTTTTTGGTAATGGAATAATTCCATTGTTACTATTCCAGTTGTTTAATTCTACATTTATGATGTATGCCATTTCAGAATGTTCTTATTTCAGATTAAGTAAATTAATATCAATTAATTTAATGTTATTATTTATTATTATAGGTTATGCAATTGTAATCAAATATCCATAAGTCATAGATTTTTTAAACATAAGAATTATACTAATACAATTTATTTATATTTTATCTATAGTAATCATATTAATATTTTTTAACAGAACTAGTATTCGAAATCGTGATGTCTATCGTGCAAGAAAAATTGCAGAATTCAGGGAAAAATCTCGTGTATGTATAAATAACAAAGATGGTAATGTTTTCTTTTATTTATAAGTTTATAAATATTTTAGCAACTTCATGAACATGTCAGGTCTCCGTCAGTAGATGAAGAGGAAGTAAAGGAAGAAGAATCAGCCAATGATGAAGATTGTGAAAAGCCTGAGGATGATGGAGAAAAAAAAGATAAATCCCCTAAAAAGAAAAAGCAAGTTATTAAAAAAGAGATGAAAATTGTTGAGAAAAAGGTAAAACAACAAAAACTAAATGCCGATGTATCTAAATCTGGTTCTGGAGATAAAACTTCAGTAAGTAAATTATATATGAGTCAACAGATATTTGTGATTTATTTTTATTTATTAATGTTCTATATATTCTCCATGCAGCCTCGAAAAATTGGAAACAATATGCTAGATTCTAGAGAACCGTCTACTAAACTATTGTGTCCTCATTGCGAAGTAACCTGCAATACATTTAGAGTAAGTAGACATTTTACGATTTAAATGTCTGAAGGTAAATACAAAGTGTATAATAATTATAATTTTTAGGAATATGAGACACATCTAGTGAAAATACGTCATCGTACAGCCATGTCTCAATTAGCCCGTAAACGTAAGCATGAATTATTCTTGTTTCGTCAGGACCTACGCAAGAAACAAAAAGAAATTGATGACAAAGCAACTAACAAAGATCGAAAAACTGAGATTTACTATTGCAAGTTATGCCAATTAAATTTGAAACAATCAAAACGTGATCACTTAAATAGCATTTTGCACAAGGTGAGTGTCAAATTATCAAACTTATGAACAAAGGTATGTCGCAAATCATATATTCATAACTAATGACAAAAAACATTATTTCAGAAAGCTAAACGATTTCTACAATTCGCTTGTAGTATGTGTCATTTGATATTTAAATCTCCAATGTTATATGAGCATCATTTGTGCAGCATCGACCATATAAAGGTAATGGTTTTTTTGTTTGGATAGCTTAAGGTTCATCCAATTACTATTGTATATTATAATGTTATAATGTAATTATTTTTCCTTGTTGCAGAAAGTTGATATTTATGATCATCGAACTAAACGAATGGCTGCTGTTCAGAGTGCAGATGAAGCTGATGGCGATTTGGATATGGACAATTTTATAGTTTTGGATTCGGTTGGATCTGGGGATGGTTAGTCATCATGGCCCTTCAAAAATGAACTGAAAACAAATTAAAAAATTAATAATAATTAATTTATATCTTTAGATGAAGGATCAGAAGAAGGTGAAAATGCTCAAGATAGTAAAAATGATGATAAAAAGAAGTCTAAAAAAGAAATGAGTCTAGGTGAGCTATGAATCTTTTAATTTTTAAATACCATATATTTGCTATTATTATCTATATATATAAAAATGGAGACAAAAAATTCGAAATTGCATCAGTTGAAAACGGCTGGGCCGATTTTGCTCAAATTTTTTTTAAGATGTTTGTAATTGCCAGGTGAAGGTTTTTACGAAAGAAAATTTTTAAAAACTCAACCGAAATATTAGAAAAACTGCAAAAACTACTGGTGTCTGGGATTTGAACTCGATACCGTTGTCTTTATTTACTCTATTGTGTATTATATTATATTGGTTGCTATTAGTTAATCGGGCATGTTAGTTGATTTGTATTATTATTTTTTGTAAATATATTTTATTTATTTATTTATTTATTTATTTGTTAACGGGCTGGGCCGTATATATCTTATATATAAATGAATGACGGTGTGTAGATTAGACCTATGGGAAGAAGATACGCTAATTTAAATAGGGTTAAATTTGGTTTTTATTATTCATCGAATTTTAGTACGGTTCAGAATTTTTATTCCGGGCAACAGAAAAGTTAAGATAAATCTAGAACATCATACACCGAATATTAAATAACGCATTGAACAATGTTTGAGTCATATAGAGTTGGTACATTTAACGGGAAACGAAGTGCACGGGATCAGCTAGTTTACTATAAAAATGTATTAATTTCTTTATTATTGTACGTAAGATAAGGTTGACGGTTTTTTTGGTAACCGGTTCTTGTTCAAATGCCGCTGTAACGGTATACCGTAATACCAGTTCATACCGTGATACATATAATTACAATACATATCGTAATAACGTTATATACTTATATACTTTATGAAAAAATTAGGTACGATAAATTTGTCAATAATTGATAAATTTAATATGGAAAATGAAATTTTAGAAAAATAGTACATTTTTCAATAGTAGTTCAAATTTTCTTTTTACTGATCAATGTGAAATACTTTTGTATTTTTTTTTATAGGTGAAGAGTTTATTAAAAAAGTATATTACTGTGAATTGTGTAAGTTATATATACCCCCACATGATGATGTTGAACAGCAGTTGAATTTGCATTTCCGTGACCGTGTACATTTACAACTTTACGTGCAACATTGTGAAAAAAATAAATCCCAAGAAAAGACTGCCGAAGTGGTTAGCAAGGAATGTACTGATGAAATGAAATCGGACAGCAACTCTTCTAACAAAGTATAAAATTTAAAGACAAAAAATATAAAATATTTTATCATTTCCAATGCACATTGACCCATCTATTAATTTCACCTCCAGGGTGCTGGCCATGAGGATAAACATGAAACTTCTGACAATGGTGATGATTCATCAAGTCTAAATATTCAACACGAAGAGAAAATGAAAAATAGATTTGACTGGGATCTATTGGATGCCGTTATTGGAGTTGATAAAAGTAAATATGATTCTGATAATGAAAAATCTATAGGTCATTCAGACTCCAAATAATTATTTTCAATGATGTAATCACTGATATGCTACTACTCAAATTATTAGTCATATATCCTCTTTGTCCGTAGCTAATTTTCTGTAAGACAAATTAAATGTGACTATTGTTTCCTTTTTAAACTTTTGTGGAGTAGGTATAATTTATTTTTTATATTCAACATTTGAATGTAATTTGTAACACAAATTAATAATTATAAGTTTTTGATAGTCTTATGTTAGTTGTACTAAAATTGGTAATTTCCTGCCAAATATTGATTATTTTCCAGCTTTTCATAGTTTAAATGTTAACTCTTATAATTGTACTGTAAAATAATAATGAAAAAAAATTAGTTGTTCTTGTTTTAAATTCAATTTTGAATGTCTTGTTAACATTTCATAAACAATTTTAAAACGAAAAACTATACATAACAGCCTTTGAGTCTTGGTTCTCAACCAGTATGTCAAATAGTCCATACCCTTCAATCGCAGCCACAAAATTTTGTTTTTTTTATTTTTATATTACCTATTCATTTTTACATATTTTTTTTCAATAAATTTATTAAAGTGTACGTCATATAATAATTAGCTTGGTTAATAATTTAGTTGTTTTTTTCAAAATACTTCAATTTTTGTAAGTGTGTTGCCATTTATTTAGAATACATTTGAATTTTAGATGTCTAAAAAAGAACCAAGTATCTCATATAAGATATTCCTGTATTTCAATTTAAGGGAAAAAACCCATATTTTCTTGACCCTAAAGAAATCTTCAATGCTTGTCATAATTTTTAAGATACATAAACTAATATTGCTTAACTAAAAATGTTTTATTGATGATAAATTGTACTCAGAACATTTCAAAATAAAACAATAGTGTGGCCGATCACATCATAATTTAACCTGTTCAAAAAAATATCTATCCATCCTCCCATTTTTGTAAGGGGTATTAGGGGAGAAAACACTGAAATAAGGGGATGGTAAAAAAAACCTCCAAAGATATAAAATATAGTTTCATGGTAATTCCGGATTATTGAAAATCAAAAATTTATGTCTGATGAGACTATGAGAGGGAATTTTTCTAATTACTATTTTGGCTTACTTTAATGCATCATAATTAGATAAGTAATAATTGGATTATTTATTTTAAAAATGTATGTTTGTGTTTATTGGTACAATGGTACATAATATTATGTAGTATAAATATTAATTATCCATACTGATCTTATTTGACGTTCCAGTTATGCCAGCTATAGCTGGGCTCTCATCTACACCCGTATCCACTAACGTTAAGATCCAATCCCCGTCCAAGGAAATGGAATCCACCAATGAAAATGTCCAATCCACCGTTATTAGAACTGAGCCAACGAAGGATCCATCAGAGTTGCAACTAACCGTTGGGGAGAGGAAGCGACTGTTGAATAGACAAAAACAGAAAAGAAAAAAAGCGCGAAGAAGAGCAGAGAAATTATCCCAGGCGTACATACCTCAAACTTAATTTACGCCAATAAATCTTTATACTTTTTTCCACATTTGTTTTAAATTTTATTTTTTTTCTCGTTTCCCTTTAAAAAACCAAAATTAAAAAAGGGCTCTGTAATGGGACAACATATTATTGTCTCATTATGATACTGTATGCTCCATCTCGCGGATCGTTCAGCCTATCCAGTTTACGCGTCAACGCGCATCTACACCATAGACCTATAAACTGCTAAACTAGTTATAGTTAGTTAGTTTATAGGTCTATACTCTATTGAGCCTATTGTCAACACACGTCTTATGCTAATAATCACTGCTGATACTGTGGTCAGAGGGCGGTATATTTTAAACACTGCGGCTACATGCATGGATATAGCAAAAATACCCCCAATTTTGGGCTCTAAAGTGTAGTATGGTTATAAGCATAGACCTATAAACTATAAACTAATGGACAGCTCATTCCACTCCGCCTTGCCATCAGTGGCGGAGCTAGATAATTTTTATCGGGGGGGGAGGCGATACGGGGGCAAATTTTTTTTTAGTGAGGCAGTTATGTATCTAATATCTATTGCTACTCAATCCCTCACTAATTTACCTATATCATATATCATATATTCATAAAGTGTTGATACGGGGGCAAATTTTTTTTTAGTGAGGCAGTTATGTATCTAATATCTATTGCTACTCAATCCCTCACTAATTTACCTATATCATATATCATATATTCATAAAGTGTTGATAAAAATGTTTTGGGTATAATATGCTATATATTTTCTAAATAATCAAAAAAAATAATTAAATAATTACCTAATTAATAAAATGTGTCTTTATTTACTTACGTATTTTCAACATAATGGAATCCAAAGTAGGTATAAGGTATAACCTAAAGTACTTACAATATGTTTTATATAAACTCGTAATAAGGTTTTATGACTTATGAGTTATGACATACAAATGTGTTACATGCACATTCATATTTTATGTTCATTACAATTAAACAAGTACAGAGTCACAGAGAGGGATTTTTAAGTATCTAAATAGCAACTTATTATTATGACTTATTAAAATAAAAATCAATAAATGCAATTTATTATGTTAGCATTATTTATTTTATTTTATTATTATGATTATATCTAAATATCAACATACCATTAAGATACCTAACTTATTAGTATTAAATAAATATAAATAATTACAAATTATTAGGATAGTATTACCTATATTATATATTATAGTATTTAATAAAATGCTCAATATAAAATGCATTTTCAGATTAGAATAAAACGTTTCTTTACACTGTACAATTTTAAAAATATTTTGACTCTTTTTGAGCTGTTAACGGACATTTTCATTTTTCAATTTTTTTAGTTTTTTATTCTATAAAAATCAATTAAGTTTTATCTGTTGGGCCAAAAAGTGTAAAAATTTAATACAAGACTCCTGCTATATTGTTACAATATCAGTTCAAAAACATTGAAAATACATGGGCACAATTTTTTTTTATAAGCATTTAAAGATCGAATTTTGACAAATTTTATCAAAATCTCAAAAATTATCAATCATTGTAATTAATAAATTATAAAATGTTCAGTTTTTATAGCTAAGGATTGAAAATTTAAAACAAAGGTTCTCATAAATATTTCATACTGTAACCAAAAAATCTAAAAAAAATATGAACACAGTTATTTTTTACAGACATTTTAAATTCAAATTCGGACGAAATTACATATTAAAAAACCTAGAATAACTATTTTAGTTATTTTGTTGTGATTGAATAAAATTATTCGTGGGTACTTGAAACTTCTAAAGTGTAATATTATATATCTATAATAGTATCACGGTTTTTGTTGATGTATAACGCGTTATAAGTACCTAATGGATATTGTGATATGATTAATTTGGAATTTATTATAGGTCTATTTTTTGTGAAATACCATAGGTATGTATAAAATATGTCTTATACCTAGACTGACACATCGTCTCCGCTCAGAATCGTTTTTCTCGTACAATGATATTATATCGTTGATTTCAAAGTTAATATCATACATTATACAGTGACCTACTTGTAACCTACTGTACAGCATAGCGACACCCACTTGCCCACCTTTTTTTTGTTTTAGTTTTCTTTAGATTTATCTTGATTTGACTGTCTGGTGTACTGTCGCATTACTTATGTGGTATTGTATCGAATAAGAAATAATGTAATCTTTATGTTCTGCACATGGGAAAGTGAATGATTCTAATTTAGTGATGAATCTATCTACGATATCATCAATTACAGTTAAACTTTCACAATACATAATGTTTTTTAAGTCGACAATCATCGAAATAATAACAATATACTTGGCCGGTAGATGGCGCCACCAGAGCGGGGCCCGTCAATAAGAGCTTCATAACCGGCGATCAGTTGCCAGACCTAATAATCCAAGACCGTGGTACAGTCTTGGCTGTACCACTAAGGAATCCGCGTAGAGGGGCGTTATGAGTCCCTCTCCAACTCTTGAGTGCGAGTAGCTCGATCAGTACAGCCAAAGCTGTACAACACCGCAGGGTGAGTAGAGGAGCTATACCAGAAGGTACTAGATACCAGGTTCAGGGATTCCGCGGCGGGATCCCCTAGGCAGCGAAGTTAAATAATTACACTTTAGCGAGAAAATAACGAAAAACGTAAAAATCGGACGGTGTTCTTATCACTCGCGCTGGGTGAGTTCAACAGGTCCGTAATCGACATTGAAACGTGATCATAAGAGCGTTATGATAGTAAATCACGTAAACTACTGTTACTTAACGATATTCAAGTCATACCGGACTTGGATATCGTACTTACACAAAGTTAAGTCAATTAAAGTGCGTACCTATACATCATTATTCAGTAGGTGCCACGGACTTCGTTCGTGCGCGTCAGGCCACCAATAGATAGCGCCAGCTACATCCAAGTTAAGAAACTTATAATTTTTTTAAACTACTAATATTATTATTAATTTTATTAATTATATTGATATTAATTAAGGTAAAAAAGGTAAAGAAATACAATCGAGTAGGCATCGTAGAAGAAATTGTAGTATATTTGTGTATCGATACTTCGTGTCGGGCACAGACAGACCATATACCTACTATAAAAAATTATACTCTATACTGTATATACATACTATATATTAGTGGCGTAATTACCTTTTGTGGGGGGTTTGATCGTCATATCCACAGGTATTTTACGTGTACACACATTATTATATGAATCTACTCGAAAAAGTACATTTATAACTTTATTTAAATACCTAGTATAGAATTATTTATTTTCATGTATGCAATCTTTTATGTATTATGTACTCTACTTGCATTATACATTATACTTTTATACAAATCACTAGTCTAAGGCCGTAGTCGTGTAGGTCGTGTATTGCAGACTGCACTACTGCAGTGGTTGAGTGGTCTAAGGCCGTGGGCGTAGATATCAACTACCAAGTTTCACAAATAGAGCGCGCCACATGACGAGGTCCTGGACACTAAAGGCACATTATAAGTTCACTAGTCGCCAGACCTACTAGTCTAAGGCCGTGCAAATCACAATAGGTGGACTGACAGGTTTTTATGATATAAAGTGTAAACTACATTTTTTTTTCTTGGTTGGAGGTGGGTAGTTGGAGGTCTCAATCTCCCATCACAAACATAACCAAATTTCGCCACTGCTATATACATTATACTATGATAGTAAATCACGTAAACTACTATTACTTAACGATATTCAAGTTATACCGAACTTGGATATCGTACTTACACAACGTTAAGTCGATAAAAGTGCGTACCTATACATCATTATTCAGTAGGTGCCACGGACTTCGTTCGTGTGCGTCACGCCACCAATAGATAGCGCCAGCTATTTCCAAGTTACAAAACTTATAATTTTTTTTAACTACTAATATTATTAGTTATTATTAATATTAATAAAGTTAAAAAAGGTAAAAAAATACAATCGAGTAGGCATCGTATATAAATACTATAAAAGTAGTATATAAATACTATAAAAAATTATACTCTATATCAGGGGTCGGGAACCTGCGGCTCTTTGGATAATTATCAATATAGATATATCCGTAAAATATAAATTATATTATACGTTATTATAACGATAATAATTCTGAATTTCTCAATAATTATTTATTAATATTATCGCACAGTTAGTTTTATTGTGTTTATAATATGTATGTGTGTGTTGTGTTCTATTAAACTCGACTATTATTATTCGGTAGAATACAAAATTATATTATTCGATACGTGAGCACGGTCCTCGTCAGGTCAATTCAACCAGTGCGACGTTGTTCGGTATTTTTTTCTTGTGCTTTTTTTCCAATAGAGGTATTTCTATAAACTTGGAGATGTCTACCATAAAATATAAATGGACGGAACTCGCTAAATGTTAAAAAGAAGAGCAAGTTATATTTGACGTATGGAACAGTCTTCCCGAAAGTTTCAGCCAATTAAAAATGGTCGCTTTCGGAATTTTGACAATTTTTGGATCTATTTACATTTGAGAGCAAACATTTTCAAATATGAACTTTATTAAGAATAAATTAAGAAATCAACTGAATGATATCAGCCTTGATGCTTGTTTGAAGTTGAAAACTACAGATTACTCTCCAGAATTGAATAAGCTGTCTGGATAAATTCAGTGTCAAAAATCCCACTAATATTAAATAGATACGTTATTTTGTGTTTTATTGTGTTTAATTAAATAATATTATATTTGTATAAACAATAATAATAATAATAATAATGAAATAATGAAATAAAGTTTTTCTATATTTTCTAAATTTAAGACGTATTATTATGTTTTTATTTTATTGCCTACTAAAAAAAGGTTGTTCAAACCTGTGCGGCTCCCTGGATATTATAGTTTTGTATTTTTTTAAAAGAATGGCTCTTTCCTACGGAAAGGTTCCCGACCCCCTGCTCTATATACATACTATATATTAGTGGCGTAATTACCCTTTGTGGGGGGTTTGATCGTCATATCCCGTAAAT